GGGTTATTTTGTTTAAAAGAAAATGGTAATGGTTTTTAACTTAGTAAAGATTTACATGCTTACTCATAGATTTCTTTTAAAACTCAATGGAAGAACTGATGTCATTATCAGATGAACCATGTTAACAAATACAGTAGTAGAAATAATGTAGTGAGGATAATTTTTGTTTGGTTTGCAAATTATTCATATATAAGGAAACAGTTTATTCTTACAGGTTCGGTGGCTTCTGTCTTTCCGTTTACTAAATAGGTTAAAAGGATACAATAGAACTTTCAGTAGTTTCCCTTAATCTTAGGTGCTTAATACAAGCAGAGATCTTAATAACCAGGTAGGAATAGAATTCTTCTTAATATACAATAAATGGGGGTGTCAGGAAAATCATTTAAAGAGTCAAAAATTTAGAATTTAAGAATTCAAACTATTAAAAAATAAATTAAAAAATTTTATCAAAGAATGAAATGTGGTAATTCTGGAAAGAATAAAAAAAGACAAGCAAACATTATTTTTTGAAGAATGCAAACATATAATCATGAAAGTAAAAACTTGAACCAGCTATAATAATTAATGTTTCCTGTTTAAACTCTGGGGAAAAGTGCAATTTAATAAACAGGATGGTCTTAATTAGCTTGTAGTGGTGGGGATTTTGTAAAAAGAAAAAAATAAATAAAATATACCCCCCACTTCCATTAGACAGCTAACAGTAACTCAAGCAATAATTTTATTTAATTTTTGCAGTTAGGGAATTCTAATAAAGTAATTTTAATGCTGTGAATTCTGTAGCTATTAATAACTTGAAACAAGTTAATAGAATCTGAAAAGGAAAAGATATTGAAATAGAAATGGCAAAGAGATGAAAATGAGTTACTTTTTTAATATTATTGACATAAACTTTACAATTAGTTATAATAATGTTCTCTCATTATTATTATTAGACATTATACTTATACATGCCATAGTTTGTGTATGTGAGTGCGTATATATATATATAGGATTTTTACTTTATATTTATGTGATTTATTGCTGCTTTGCTTTTAGCATTTATTCTGCACAGTTTTTAACTGCAGTCTTTTTTGCTTGGGGGTGGTTGTATTTATACACATATTGAGAAAAATTATCATTAATTACATATATATTTGGACCGGTAAAGAATTTATTGTAAGACAACATATTAGCAATATTAAAATGAATAAAAATTGTGTAAAAATTGAGTTAACATTATACAATTATTTTAAAATGATTTTAAAAAATATGTAAAGCAAATCACTTTTTTTTTTTTTTTTTAATCTCAAAGAGATTCTCCAAAAACTTATTTTATAATGAATTATATACATATAAATATTTATAAAATAAAACTGTTGTACATCATTTTCTTCCAGATCAAAATTCAATTTCAATAAAAGAACATTTCAAGTTAGACTTATCTCCAGACCATCACTAATGAGAATTGAACCATGAAAGCTTTCTTGGAATGCACAACATTAAATATATTGATTCTGTTGGCCATAAAATTAAACACTCTTGGAGTTTATACACAAAAATCCAATAAATATTATATGATGTTAATACTTGTTAACATCAAAGATCAAAATATCAATAATTGAAAAGTTAATTTGAAAATGTGAAATAAATATTACAGAAGTTTTTCAGTTAAACCAAGAAATTGAAAGCATTGATAAAAAGAACACGAACAAATATATTTTGGAAATAAAATGCATTTGTGTGAAAATAATAAATTGATTTTTAATCATCAAAATATTTTGTTACAAATTTTCTAGTTACAGAATGAATTTCTGCATTATGAAGCTAAGGATAAGTTGTTCTGTACTGTTTTAAGGATCAGTCAAACCATTATTATAACAATCAGAGATCAGAGGTGTTTCTCTTAATCATATTGATATTTTCTCATAATTTACTGTTTATTTAATATTTTTATTTACATTGGAAATGAAAGTGTATCTGATGGAAAAGTTGGACAATAGCTTGAAAAGACCAACTAATAACTGAGTAGTGAAATTAATTCTGTATTTTTACAGCATCAAATTGTACAAAATAGGCCTTGCAAAAAATTTCTTTTGTGTCTCAAAGTAATCAAGAAAGAATAACAGTTCTTGCAAGTTCAGTTTTGTGTTTGCTTTCAGAAAACAACAGTTCACATAAATCAGTTTTCTTTTCTTTTAGAAATAATAAAAGAATTTTAAAAGAACAGTTATTCTGACTTGATCATTTTGAGGCACATAAGGGAAATTTTGCATAAGCCCTATTTTGTACAATTTGATGTTGTAAAAATACTTTTTGTTATGTTAATAAATATTTGTTGCTTTTCAAATTTTACTTTTTTTTTTGTCATCACTTCAGAAAAGACCTTTTGAAAAAAGATTATTTGAAACCCTAATCTTTTCTCTTTAATATTTTTAAACATGTCATTGTGTTAGTTGCCTGTGAGGGGCTGAAGAAAAATAAAATAAATATAAAATTGGGTAGATGTTAAAGAGACAATTTGTATAATGTTGCTTAAAGCTAATTATTCTTTTAAAGAAAAACATTTGTTTAATGACAAATTGAAACAGTTTTTAGACTGTGTGGAAATTAGCAAAAATATAATAGTCTATAGTGAAAATTTCTTATTTTTAATTCAGTTCATGGCAACTAAATATAAGTAATTTCAATTAAAAACATTAATTGAATCTTTACATTTCTTGAGATTATGTGTCAAGTTTATTTTTGCTAATTAAAGCATAAAAGCTAATGAAAGACAGAACATATGCAAAAAATACATAAAAACTGATGAAAAAAAGTCCAGTAGAAATTAATTATAGTCCGCAGAAATGGCATAGACACTCCAGATATCAGAAGTGAAAGTGGCAAAGATTCCCCAGTCATCAGAAGTTAAAAGCAAGAAAGAGAAATTTTAACCAGCTTATATTGGGTTCACTGGGCAAATACAAGTTGGAAGAAAGGGAGACAATTCTGCTGCTGTTGCAGCTTGAAATCATCCATTAAGTTTTGGGAGGGGAAATAACCGAGTTAGTTAATAAAATAATTTCCAAAAAGAATAAAACAAAAAGTATTTTTAGATGAACTTTGTTTTTTTTTTAATTTCTGAAAGCTGCTTTTTTTTTTTTCAAGTTTGCAAAGTTCAAATTGGCTTCTCCAACAATTGGTTTTTTACACTGAACCATTTCACATCTTGTATAAAAAAAAAAAACTGGTTTCATCTAGAGACAGCAGTAATCAGTTCATTATTCACAAACAATAAAAAAATAGTTAAAAATGAAAAAAATAACAGTATAATCATTTTTTACAAATAGAGTTTATCTCTCTTGTTTGTAACAACTACATCAAATGGCATTCTGATCAGCAGTAGATTTGTTAAATTTTCTATTTCCTTAAAACAGATTTGAATTTATCAAACTGATATTAAGTATAAATTTGTTGTTTTTATAATTCATCTATATTACATCCTAGTTTTAAGCAGTCCAAATACTGATGTCATAATCATTACCTTTCCAATTTACTTGGCTAACATTTAAAAGCTTTGATATAATTGTTAGTCCTAGAATATAGATGTGTGTATATATTTTCAAAGACCAAAAGAAAACAGCAAAAATCTATTACAAAAATATCTTTATTTAGCATAGTGCATTAATCGTATTAAGAATTGTCCTGAAAGCTTAATTACCAATAAAAGATACAAAATAGGATACAAGAGCTTAAACTATTCTCCATGATTTATTCAAAGCATTTGTTCTATTTTGTACACTAACTCAGTGGTCACTTGGTATAGAAATTGAATATAGAGTATATAACATTTAACCGAAAGCACCTCTCTAAAAGCTCCCTAACAGATACTAAGATGCTGTTAGGTCAGCCATAATTATACCTGTTAACCAAAGTTTAAATTGTGTGCAGACATAAGAGATCTACTTTCAGTTACACCTGCTTATAAGTTTTCTTCATATGCTTAAAAATATCTAATATTTGAATAGATTTCCCTTCTGTTACACCTGCTTCTAACAAAATTAAAACGTTGAAGTTATGAATCTTCTTGAATTTTGTCTTTAAAAAATCTCAAAAACGAACAGAAAAACAGATTTAGCATGACTGAAGATATAGCAACAATTTTTATATTAGCTGGAAATGCCTGAAAAGCAACAAATAACTGCTCTTTACAAAAAAAAAAAAAAAAAGAAAGAAAATCTGCCATCTCATCAAATTATATGCAACATTTAGAATACATTATTTTAACAACATAGACCAAATTACATTTTTTTAAAAAATGTTTTTTGTAATAAAAGTACAGCACCAAGATAGGGCTGGTATATAGCGGTTGGTGAAAACACTTTCTAAACAATTTAAATCAACAGAAATTTGATATGAAATAATCATGATATCACATCATATAATATTAATTGATCATGCTGAGCTATAATAAATTTAGTGTTGTTCCTATATCTGAAAAGCATTATTACATATAACAAAAGCATTGAAAGAATGCTAAATCACAGTTATATTGAGTAATAAGTGTTACATTGACAGCATGAAAACATGACTATAACATGATTATATTGGACTTTAATACTAAACGTGTTTTCCAAGATGAGTAAAAAATCGAAAGAAAAACATTAACTACTTGTTGTAAACTAAAAAAATTCTCCCTCTAAAATTTGTATAAAAAATATTTTTAAGGTCAAAATTAAACAGAAATATACTTTAAATGAATAATAATTTCATTAAAGTTAATAAACTTGGAAGGGTTTTGAGATACAGATAGATTAATTCTTCAAGTTGGTTATAATGATTTCTTTGTAGCTGCCAGAAATTCTGGCAGATTAAAAGTGAAACAATAGATTTAAAAATTATATAAATATATACAGAAAATACCCACCTTGAAGAGTACTCATCCTAGAAATAAAAATCACGGATATTTGGCCCCCTTCAAATGGCCATAAAGTGAGTAGAAACAGATGAATTCATCAAGGACATCAGAGAATGGGTTCAATTCAATAAGCATGTCCCTCAGGGTTAAATTCAAAAAGAGGGAACCAGAAGAAACGTACAGTGACTGACAGAGCCTCAACTAATGTAATCTTGAGAATGTCCTGCATTTCTGCAATTTCCAGCATTGCTGGAAGTTCACGATTCTTGGCACTCACTTGCCGCAGGTAGAGTTTGGGTCCAGCAAATGCCAAATTTTCTCCTATCAGGCCGACAAACTCAATCTCGTCTCCATCACGAAGTGTAAGAAGTTGGTCTGTAAAACGATAATCTGCAAGTAAAGTGCAGGGAGAGTAACCATCTTCCAAATGGACCTGTAACTGGAAGCTATAGGAGTCATATCGCCTTAGATGACACAGGCGACCAATTGACACCATCAATTTGCAATGCTGTAGCTCAAGGGTATCATGGGTACTTTCATCGGAGCAATTGTAGTAATCTCCATAGGAACACCGCACCTGGTTTGCTAAAAAGGCTGGAAGGCTCTCAATGAATTTTTCAACAGAATTTTCAATGTTTGTAATTTTGATATTGGTGACAGTTCCTGACCATGCCACCTTGATTCCTTTCATGTGGACACACCTGGTTGCTGTCAAGGCTTCCGTTGTTTCATTATCCTTCACCACACAGTTGTCATAGTAACTTGACCAATGAAGCTCACTTTGAGTTTCATCATGTACTGCTGGAATGCGAATAAAAAACAATGGGATGACAGCTAAAACACAGAACATGAAGATAACAATTCGTTTCAGAAATCGATACTTGGAATCTAGTTCATCACCAAGAATCTTCCGGCTCTGTGTCAGAGCTAGGGGGATGCCCAACAAAACAATGGTGGTAAGAATTTTCCCAAACATAGCTGACTGCACCAACTTTATAACAAAGTATATCACTGAAAGGCCAATGGTGAAGACTGAGAGGGGCACAAGCAAGGGAAGCATCAGGTAGCCAACTGTAGCTCTCAGCATTGTCCACCAGGTTGTGTAACTGAAGAGTACAGTCATGAAATTCCACCAGAAGTAGCAAACAAGATGTGGAATTAGGATGCGATAGACACCCTTCCAAGATTTTTGCCTGGCCATGAAAATAAAAAGAAAAGGCAGTAGAAGGAAGGACAATGAAGGCAATCCAAAATTCAATTTCAGTCCAAATCCTAAATTAAATACAAACAAGGGTGAAGAAATTAGCTTGAGGATGTGAATAAGAACGGGAATGTTAGGAAAGCCATCCAAGATGATAGGCAAGGATGCAAGCAAATTGGATCCAACGGTCATCAGAGTCAAGTGGTCATGGCTGTCACTGAGAGCAATAAAGCAGCTCACTGCAAATATCAAGGCAATGATACACACTTCTGAGCATGGGATGTACGACTTGTTGGCGAGAGAAAAGCTGATGACTGATGCTATGATGGAAGAGAAGAACACAATGTAAGGAGTCAAAGAGTTCCAGCAGAATTGAGATTCCACAGATTCTACATCAACACCAATGTCAAAATTCTTCAGAGCTGATGTTAGTGTGGAAGTGTCTGATAGCTTCTGGCGTCCATAAAACATCTGAAGGGTGGAGATCACCATGGCTGCAAAGGAGAGATAGAAGAAGAAGAGTGGGACGAAAAAGAATACCAGGCTTGGGGTGATGAAGCCATAGATAAAGAGCAGGAGCATGATGTAGATTTGATTGGTAGGAATGAGGGAGATGAGCCAACTGGTGCCCCTTTTGGAGGCAATCTCAAGCATCTGTTGTCCAATCACTTTTCCCGTGGTGATAGGGTGTTTGAGAATCTGAAGCAAAATAGGCAGCAATAATTAAATAGGAATAAAAAGCAATCAACTGGGTTAAAAAGAAATGAACCACCAGGTTATAATTTTTAGTATGTTGAATTTTAATGAAAAAACACTTTCAACAGTTGTAGCTATTGTTATTTTATAGTTACAGAACAAATAGTCTTATTGGCATAGAGGGAAAATACAAGGATGTTATAAATATGGCTATACAAAAGTCATAAGGTTCTTAAATTATTATCATAAAATTTCTTCAACTGAGACATGTATGAAAATTGTGTTAATGTATAAAACATTAATAACTGCATAATCTTTGGAGTATTCACTTTTAATATAATTATATTTAAAATTCCTTTTAGTATTAAAAACAGTCATAATAGCAATTGTTAAATCTTAAAGAGTTGATAACATATGATATTCAATTGCAAATTAGATGTGCTTAAGTTCAGTATATAAGTGGACACTGAAATCAGTATCATGCGGTGAAAGTGTTTCATACTTGAACGCAATCTTGAGCCATGAAGATGGTGTTCAAGCATGACTGTTACTGCTAGGTGTTGATCTCAGTGTCCATTTTTACATTTATGTATGCTCTATCTCTGATATTGAGCACTTTTACCCATAAATATAGCACACCTTAAGACAATATTTTTATCATATAAAAATATATATATATATTTATTACTTGAAATGTTATTATAGTGGATACTCCATATTTGAAATAGACTAATAATATTTGAAGCATTGAAAATATTGGATTAAAAGTAAATCCAATAATTATTTAGAAATATAGATATTAGTTTAATAAAGTAAATAATGAGAATATTATAAAAACACAGTGGCTGTTGTAATATATATATATATATATATATATATATATATATATATATATGTGTGTGTGTGTTTGTGTGTATACAGAGTAATATACAAAATAAAATATATAAAAAAGTGATATTTAAATTTTGCTGCTTTTTTGTGACATAAAAATTTCATGTGTATGCACTTCTTATTTATTGGCTGCTGCACAAACATCAGGTGATTGAAAGGAATACTTAATTTTGTAATTATATATCACATAATGGCCATCTAATTACAGAATTGAGTGTTCTTCTCAAATGCCTGATGATTTTGACTACTGACAATGTGTACACATGAGATGTGGAAAAGCAGCAAAATATAAGTATTGCTTCATATGGGTAGCAATCTTTCTTTTATATATTTTTCATTTAATATGACAGACAATCAAAGTTTAGTAAGTTTTTATATGGTATTTTAATGTTTTACAGTTTTTAAGTGAGCTAAATGTCTAAATAAAAAAAAATTTCCTTGAAAAAAAAATTATATATATATATATATATATATTTATTATATATATATATATATATATATATATATATATATATATATATATATATATATATATATATATGATGAAAAGTTCTTGGCTGAATGAATAAGGGGGCCCCTAAAAGTTCTGATGTCAGGTCATTTGGCAAGGTTGTGGGAAGTAAGCTTAGCTGAGTGCTTTTCAGCACCTTCTTTTATGTGTATACACATACAGACAGGGTGCAATGGGTAAATTGTTGCCATTTTATATTTTTAATTTTGTGCATGTGTGTTGTTTGTTTTTTATTTTGTTGACTGCACAGTATAGTAGGGTCAGTTGGGCACTGTCTGTGTGAAAAAGAGTATCATGATGCAATTTACTCTGCTAGAAATTAGGAAATGGTATGCTGTACTGTTTGGCATTTGCACCAGAAGATCCAATATGAATATTTCAGAGTGTTTGGGTGTCAATCTGAGGATAGTGCAGAGGATTTGGAAAGAGTTGGAGGAGTCAAATGGTCATTACAAAAGGTACAGCAACTCGGAAAACTCACTCTGATAGTAAAAGAACTCCTGAATTTGTTGGTGAGATCCAGGGCATGATTGACAATGATCACTCCAAGTAAATCAGATCCATAGCCAGGGACACAGAAGTCACACTAAACCATTTCAAATGTCCAGGTTCCCAAAGAAACTTAGGATGCAGACAAAGGAATTCTAACTAACATATAGACACCACAACAGTTCTTGATAATGACTGTGAAAGTCAAAAGTACTTGAACAAAAATAACAAAATATAAACTCTGGACAGTTTATCCAGAACTTTGAGCAAAATACTCAACACATACGAAAAATGGAAAAAAAAAATTAAACAGACAGACCTTAGAGGTCCTTTTTAATCAAAGTTGTTTTGAGATATATATAAGAAAGGAAATGTTTATCAATTTAACATGTTTCACTTTAATTAAAGCTTCATGAGAGAATATATATACAGTAGAGGCCATAATAAAAGGAATGGAAACAACAAAGACATAAATATGTGTATTACTTAAAAAGTAATGCATGATTAGCATTGAATTTTTACTGAATAAAGATTAGGGTGTAATGCATAAATATTATACAAAGTTACAAAAATTTATGTAATAGTTTTTTTTTTTTTAAATAAAAATTAAATGGAACAAAGGAAATAAGCTACTGGACAAAAGTTGAGGAACAATCTTGTTAATACTTGATTATGAACAAAATATCAACAAAATTTAATATTTGGTAAACATCCCCTTATTTCCAATGACTTCTCTGCATCGTCGATCACATGATCTAATTAATTTCTTGCAAAAATCAGCAGTAATTCCCTCCCATAGGTGATCCTGGTTTTTCGGGTTTCTTTTCTGAGCCCTTTCTCCAATTATCTTCCAAACATTTTCTATTGGATTCTGGGCTGGCCACTTCATTAGGGCGATTCCTCTTTCTTCAAATAAAGCCATAACCTTCTGAGCCTTGTGGCAAGGTGCATTGTCCTGCATGAAAATACGAGATTCATAAAGATTATGGTGTAATCTTGGTACCACATGCTGAAGAAGCCTTTTGTAAATATCAGCATTGATATTGCCATGTACGCGGATGATAGGGCCAACTCCTGCAGATGAAATCATTCCCCACACCATCACACTGCCGTCACCAAACTTAACAGTTTTCTTGACACATTGAGAAGATAGTCTTTCACCTGTTCTACAGCACACGTAAGTTTTGCCCTCAGGACCAAATATGGTAAACTTGGACTCGTCACTGAAATGAACTGTATCCCATTGTGCGTCAGTCCAAGCAACATGTTTTCTCGCATACTCCAGGTGTGCCCTTTGGTTTCACTTTGAAATGAGAGGCTTCCAAGCTGGAATACGGGCATGCAATCCTGCACTTTTTAACCTGCGAGCAACCGTTTTCCTTGAGATCTTATTCTGTCTCTTCATTAAATTTATGGGCAATTGATGTAGCAGTTTCAAAACGGTTTTTTGTAGATATTCTAACAATTCTTCGATCTTCTCTTTGTGATACTTTTGGAGGTCTGCTGGTTTTTGGTTTTGCATCTAATGTTTTATCGGTTTTATACCTGCTAATTACATGATGAACGACACTTTTAGACCTATGAACAATATCAGAAATTTCTGAAATTGACTTTTTTTCTTGATAGTTAGCAATAATGAGTTTTTTTCTTCAAAAGAGGGCATTTTGCGTGTAGAATTTGCCATATTGCTTAAAAATAAAGTCCTAATGATAAATGAACTTTTACTTATTGTTGAAAAGCTCCATCGAGTTTTTTAACAATGTAAATTAAAAGTTTATGCAAATTATTAACATTGTTCCTTAACTTTCGTCCAGTAGCTTATTTCCTTTGTTCCATTTAATCTTTATTTTAAAAAAAAAAACTATTATGTAAATTTTTGTAACTTTGTATAATATTTATGCATTACACCCTAATATTTATTCGGTAAAAATTTCATTGCTAATCATGCATTACTTTTTAAGTAATACACATATTTATGTCTTTGTTGTTTCCGTTCCTTATATTATATATATATATATATATATATATATATATATATATACACACACACACACACACAGAGAGAAAAAAAGCCATTTAAAAATAGTTCATAATAAAATATTGATATATATGTGTTAGTATTGGAACTTAAAGATACAAAAGTGTTTCTACATTGAAGAAAATCTTTACACATGCAGATTTACTCAAGTTACACACACACACACTTTTAAGAACGCAATGTAAGGGAGATAATTACGTCAACTTTAAACGTGAAAGGTAATTTCCTTACATTTGTTCAAAGTTAAGAATACGGTATGAAGAACGGGGAGAATTATCATAATCTCGTTATAAATCATTCTTAGCTTCTCGTTTTTCCCTCCCAAATTACTAAATATATCAACAGCTTTATTTAACATATATTGGGGTGGAGGTTATATTTACAATATTCAAGCACATTAAAACATTTGGATGACTAATTTTTACACAGATAATTGGAAACTAACTACTTACCATCCAGATATGCACATATAGTCATAAATAGCAAAACATGGAGTATTTTAAGGCAGTTTTTTTTCTAATAAATTGTTAGAGTTCCTAAACAGGTTTAAAATTATTTAGTAAATTTAGCTTAAGTCAGAAACAAGGCTAGGTGGAGGATTTTAGTTAGGAAATTGTGCTCTATTAAACTTCCATGTAGAGAGGGTTTGCTGACAAAATCAGCATTTGAATACCCTAGCTTTTTATATTAATTGAACATTAGCTTATGGTACTGTTACCAAGTTTAGCTTGGTATGGCATAAAGCTATAGATGTGGAGCAGTCAATGAGAAGCAAACTGAGTACAGTAAAAATAAACTTAGCCTGTCTTGTTAAGTTAAACATCTAGATTCAGTGGATATTGAAATTTAAATTTAAAGCTGATTAATTCATACATTTTCTATGGCTTGTCAACCCTTTGCAGGTTATTTAAAGCCAGAAAATATTTTTAGATTATAAAAAAAAATATTTCTATTTTTGAGATAATAATTATTTAGTGATACAAGTCTTACTAATGAACCCATAGCTGAGTGGGGAAGAGGTGAATTCATACCTTCTCAAGAGTATTTACAAGTAAGTGAATATAATGAACACAACTAAAATTGGAACTGGGTTTTCTGATTAACAATTCTGAACTATTATCCAATACACCATTCACACACCCAAGCTTACAGAACCTGGTATTCCCCAGTGGTCACTCATATAGGTACTGACCAGGCTCAATGTTGTTTAACCTTGGTGATCGTACAGGAACTGATATTTCGACATATGGAGGTAAGCCAAATTTAAAGCTGATTGAAAATGTTAAAGATATATAGTCAATGTAATTGAAGTTCTGTTGTATTCACCCCCACCTTTTCCCTATTATATATATATATATATATATATATATGAAAAGTGTGTGTGCATATATATATATATATGTGTGTGTGTGTGTGTGTGTGTGTGTGTGTGTGTGTGTGTGTGTGTGTGTGTGTGTGTGTGTGTGTAATATATATATATATATATATTATATGTGCAGTACTTATTAGAAAGCGCTCAATATCAGAGATAGAGCTAACATATTTGGTTGGATTGATGTGAGTTTGTGACCCTAGGTTTCACACTTTTATGATCGTCAGACAAACTGATTAATTTTTTAAACATTTTGGATTTATGTAGATTGCGTGTATTGGTGTTATTATGGAAGTGGGGGTAAAATCATTGTCTTGATGTCACGAGAAATATTCATTACGTATCCCATCTTTGAATTTCAGCAACCAAATGCATATGTATGTAGACAACCGCATACATATGTCAAGTCTCATACTGTCCACATATGTTTATGTTTGTATGAGCCCCGGCAGGCGAGTGCGTGTGTATGTGTGTCTGTGTATCTCAATGGGTGTATGAAAATGCATCTATGTTTCCGTTAGCATTAGTGGCATCATGACGATGATTTTCCCCCCACTTTCATAATAACACCAATACACACAATCTACATAAATCCAAAGTTTAAAAAAAATTTGTCTGACGATCACAAAAGCGTGAAACCCAGGGTCACAAACTCACATCATTCCAACTATATATATATATATATATATATATATATGCTGTCAAAAAAAAAAATTGACATTATTTAAAATGTGAATATATGAGTAACTACATGTCTCAGTCAAACAAAATTAAATAGGCTCCATGTTGAACAATAAAAGATTTACTTATCAAAATTCTAGCAAGGTATTCAACAGGATGTAAATTTTATAACTGATTTCACAAAGCTACACAAATGTTCAATATGTGCACCACCTGTGACATGACACATGTCAAGTTGGTAGTCCAGCTTCTGCCAAACATGCTATAGCATGTCTTGTGTAACATTCTCCAGCATTTCAGTGATTCTCTGCTTAAGTTTCTCTAGTCTTGTAGAAAGAGAGGGTGATATAGACCTATCCCTTCACATAGTCTCATAGGAAAAAAAAAAAAATCACAAGGTGTCAACTCAGGTGAACATTGTGGCCATTTCAACAGCACATTGTCATTATCACTGGCACACCTGATCCATCTTCCTGGTACATTCTCATTGAAAAAAAATTTCTAACTGTCAACTTAGTTTTTGCACATTTTGTTAAAATTTGATATCATTTGAGTGAGAATTGGGTATGTTATTAGACTACAAAACAATGTTAATTTTTTGGGACAGTATATATATATATATATATATATATATATATATATATATATATATATATATATAGATATACATGTGTGTGTATATCCATATATATATATATATATATATATATGATATACGTGTGTGTGTGTATTTCATCAAGAAAACTTTAGTCTGTTACTTTCCCTTTTCACATTCTCTTACCCAATATTCTTTGTATTTTCTGTCTGAATTTCTGGGACAAGAAGTTATTTACATTATCTACACATGGACTGTTGTCCCCATATTTGTTATCACAACATTTCATCCATTGTGCCCTCTAGTCTTCATCAGGTGATTGTTGATCTGAATAACCTTCAGGGAATTTCAAACTGAACCCTTTATTTAATTTACAGGTGTAGATTGTTCTCATTTAACTGTCCATGTCAAGGGATATCTCATCTAGTTCTTATTTAATACTACTCAGTTACTGTTTGTCCCATTGAGCAGTACTAAATAAGAACTAGATGAAATATTGTCTAGAAATCAGTGTTGTTTAATAAAATTCGTTTGGATGAACACTGTCTAGATACACTTTAATTAATATATTTATGCATTATCATTGTACAACTATTAAGTAAGGCAATTTGCAATTTTTATGAAAAAAAAAATGATAAAAAAAAACCTCCAACAAACCTTTTTAAAAATACTTGATCTTCTGTATTCTTCTGTTTGTTCAGCAGCTTCCTCTTCTGTAAGATTAATTTTCCCTTGAACTCTTTTTGATACAGTTTTCACGAAAGCGTCTTCAGAAATAGCATCACCAATTTTCTTGCCTGTTTAAAAAAAAAAAATACACAAATTATGATACTGAGTATGTTATGCTGTAAAAATTGTGCATGATAAGTAAAGATAAACAAGGTAGTACTGAAAAGTTCTCAGCCTGATCCACTTTCCAAAATATAATCATTTTTTCTTAAGGGCTTCTGGATTGGTTCAAAAACTTCTCAAAACACTCTTATATTTGTCAACATTAATAGATCAAGGTACAAATCAAATATCATCTTGACCAGTCAGATATATGTAAATTCCACAGGCATTTCTCATTATCTTCTCCTTTTGATCTTCTTTCATCTTTTCTCCTGTATTTTCTCATTCTCTCCCTTGTCCCTACAAATCTTTGTTGTCTATCTATGTTTTTAAATGTTATACCAATATAGATTAGTTTCATATGCAAAAAATGAATAAGAAATACACAAATATCTTTTTACCAGTTTCGCTTTTATCTTCCTTTGCTCCGTTTCTTCAAAAAGCATTTTAATTTATTGTAATTTTTACACTTTTTTTTATGCCTACCTGCCCTTCACAGATTATCTATTGATATTCAACCAGCAATTTTATATATATATATATATATATATATATATATATATAGCTGGCCACTTGTATTTGAGGATACTTGTCTGCTAGGGCAGCTAGCCAATCCTTATTGCAGACTCTTGCCCAGGCACATTTGTGTTCAACACCCACAGAGCCCACCTGTGGTTTATACTACAATTATGCTGAGCAGATCTTAGTTACAGTTTCTGGGAGAATGCATGTTAGCTAGAATGATCAACAATCTGAACAACACCAGCACACTCAAACCCTCAGTCACAATGATTTGTGACTTTGTGCTAGCACAACTATTGACGACCCCATGTGTTTTGTCTATCCAATTTCACTCACAAGGCTTGGGTCAGCCCATGATGGTATGGTTTTCAGGTACTTCAGGTGCTGCACGCTGGGATCATCTCCACTCTAGACCAATAACATCAGGAAGTATAGTCTCCTTCCTGACAAATCAACCATAGTGAGATTCGAACCCAGGTCTCATGGTCAGAAGGCAAATGTTCTAACCACTCAGCTGTGCACCTATATAAATATTATATATATATATATATATATATATATATATATATATGACATGCCAAAAGTCATGGGTTCATTGTCTAGTATTGTGTAGAATCACTTCTATTGCAAAAATGTGCAACAACTCAATGTGGCATGAATTCCAGCAGACCTCTGGAGAGATATTGACCTATGTTGTTGTGATTGATGTCAAGAGCTCCCAGATATTTGTAAGTGAAGGATCTTGTGTATGAAAAAAAACTCTTGAAAATTTCCCATAAATGCTTGATTAGGCTAATGTAGGGCAAACCTGGTGGCAACATCATTTGCTCCAGAATGATCACCAAACCAATCCTGAGCAACTCGCATTTAATAGACACACTGCATTATACTGCTGGAATAGCATTTACTTGTTGAGGTAGATGAAATCCATGAATGTTTGCTAATGGTCACAAAGTAGTGCAATGTAAACAGTTGGTGGTCAATGATATGCTTAGGTGGACAAGCAGATAGAACCCATACCATGTGAGTCTCAGCCAACACAATTATAAAACCACCATCAACCTGCACAATGCCAAGTTGACAAATGGCCTCATGGAAACTGCACTAGACCCAAACCCTACCACAAGCCTGAAACAACTAGAACTCATTGGACAACACCACACACATTGCTAGTTCCTCAGGATTCAATCAGTAACTTCATGAGTTCAAGTGAGGTACTGTATCCAGTATCATGGTATTTACAGGAGTACCCTGGTGGGTCTTCTGTTCCCATATCCCATTGAAGCTAAAGAATACTTAACTAACCTGGAAGATATGCATCTGATACCTCCTGCATTAAATATGGATGTGCATTGAGTCAATGTCACTTGCTTAACAATAACCCATAGATTCTCAATGAGGATCAGGTTAAGCAAATAGGCTGGCCTATCAAGCACAGTAATAACATGATTAGCAGATATATTACCAACTAGCAGTATGGCCCGGCATTGCCCGTGCTTGATTCAAAAATCGTACGACTCATACAGCAATCGCTATCACCTCACTTAAAATATGTTTGCCCTTCCTTGCCTTTAAAGGAGTGCCCTTTGCCATGTTGATGTTGCTACATGTCTTACTTCTTGCAAATTTTTTCTAAGCTCTATACTAAACATTAAATTTGTTATGAAAAAAGAACTAAACAAAATGAACAAAAAACGATCAGCTTTAAAAAAGACTCGTAACTGGAAAAACCGAATGAAAAAAGAATGTTAACAACAAATACTTTTTCACACCCAACCCAGTTCTGCAGAATAAGAATCAACGTTGAGTCTAAGCAAGCGAATGAACCAATTGGAGTAAAGTGCCATGCAGATTTAAATTTTTCCTACTTGTGACGAATGCAGCTATTGATTTTTTTGCATACTAGCATGCTAGTTAACATTCATGTCAGTCAGCTGTTGGCTCTCACGCTGGCCAAAAGAATCTACATGCCTATTCATGGCAGCCAGCTATTGGCTCTCACTCTGGCCAGTACAAAATGGCCGCAAAATACATGAAAACTGCTGTAGGAGCATAAAAAAATCGATTATTTCCACTATCGATGGGAGTTGGGAAATGCAAAGTCAGTCTTGGCCTTCCTGCTAACTTGGAGCATGTGTATGTAAATTTTGGTGGAAATCTGTTAAAAACTGCGGCTGTGCATTTGTTACACACACACACACACATCCTGCCTTTTATAGATAGAGATTGTTTTGGCAATTTGAGAAGATACCAAGCTCTGTTGGAAAAGAAATCAGCATTTCATGAAGTTTGTCAGCAAATGGAAGCATAAAGTACTCTAAACTCTCAATAGATTGCTATATTGATTTTAAACTTGATAAAATAATGGACAAACACCAGGAGATGACATAGCACCCCCAAATCATCACTGGCCGTGATAACTACACACTAGAGTCAAGTAATTTGGATTCTGTGCCTCACCACTCTTCTTTTATACAGTGGGACCTTGATTTCCAAATATAAAAGATTATTTTTATCTGAAAAGAGGACTTTGGACCACTGAGCAATTTCAATTCTTTTTCTCCTCAGCCCAGGTAAGGCACTTCCAATATTGTCTCTGGTTCAAAAGTGGCTTTTAGGAATATGACATTTGTAGACCATTTCCTGGACATGCCTATGCATAGTGGTTCTTGATGCTCTGACACCAACCTCAATCCACCCCTTGTGAAGCACCCCCAGCTTCTTGAATTGGCTTTGCTTGACAATGCTCTTGAGGTTGCAGTCATCTCTCTTGCTTGTGAACCTTTTCCTACTATACTTTTCCCTTCCAGTTAACTCTTCATTAATATGATTCATATATTCTGTGAACATTCAGCAATGGCTTTCTGTGGCTTACCCTCAACAAATAGCATGTCAATGAATGCCTTCTGGACAATTTTCAAGTCAGCTGTTTTCCCTATAATTGTGGTTGTGTGTACTGAACCAGACAGAGAGATTTATGGGATTTATTCTATATAAGTAGTGATTTACTCAAACTCAAAAAAAGAATAATCTAATAAATTGAGATATATTTTTCCCCTGCTATTTTGAGTTCTAGGCTGTATTTAAAAAAATTGAAAGAAAAATGTTTGAAATATTTTACATGTAATGAGCCTAGAATAATTTTCCTTTTCTGAAATAAGTGATAAAAAATACTGAACTCTTGATATTTAAAATTTTTTTTTTGCATCTGTATTACTTGATCACTTGTTGGTCATGAAAACCTTTCAGAGTAAACTAATTTGCTACTTCATAAGCCAGCAAGTAAAGTGCTTAAAATGTGATGACAACAAAAATTCAATACATTTCCGGATTCAAATTTACCTGCAGCAACTAGTAGTTTCCGAGTGTGTTTATCTCCAGTGATTTCTTTGATTGCTTCAAGGTACTCTTCTTTACTCAGTACATCTTTGTGAGCTTTGTTGATGGCACCAAACATCCTGCGGGCGGCATAACGCACTTTCTTCTCCATACTGCTAGTGGTCAGACACCACTTTATCATCTCTTCATTCTTTTCAGTGATACCTATAATAACAGCAAACAAGTAAATGACACTATTTGCATAATTCTTTTTGCAGAAAAAAAAAAAAGACGACTTACAGTGAACAGATATCAGCAGAAATGTAAAATGGAGAGAAAACAGGGTTAAAAGGTATTAAAAGACAATGTAACAGAAAGCCACCATTGTGCACATGAAAAAAGTACTTAAAAATAACATTAAAGTGTTACTATTTATGTTAATGTTTTTAAAGTTGTCTAAAAAAATAAAAAAAAATAAAAGTGGAATTAAAAAAAACAACAACAAAAAACGAACATTTTATTGACTAATGTTTGGCATGTAAAAATGTTAGTTTGATAAAACCAAGAAAAAATATGATAAACATCCCATAAAATTGGGAAAGTCAACTTGCCTCAATTCTATTTTAGGATTTTTTGTGCTGAGTGGGTTTCTCTTCTAGGATCATCAAATGCTATCAGTTTTTGCTTTGTTCAGGTACATTTCCTGTTTTATTTTAGTTTTTCTAACTGCTTTTGTCATTATATATATATATATATATATATATATATATATATATATATATATATTATATATATATATTAGTCATCCACTCAAACACACACATATATATATATATATATATATATATTGAATAACCTATATTTAGGCAGCAAGTTTCCTTTAATGCATGTTTTATTGAATGTAATTTTTTAGTTAACTTTTGAATTTGAAAGTATTTGCAAAGAAAAGTTAATTAAAAAACATAACCATCTTTCATTGTATGCTACATTCAATAATATTAATAGAATAATATCAAAATTCACTACTCAGAGTTTCATGTAATAACAATCATCAGTTGGATATAACCAGTTTAATTATATTTTAAGATTTTAATAAGGTTTATTTTGATATTTTGAGCTTTTAAAAAATTCTCATGTCCATTCATTCCTCCAAATTTTGGGAAGTAGGTAAGCTTGTGAACTTCACATCATCCTTTCATATATACGCATATACAGTTTATGTAAATATGTTATATATATATAGTAACACAAGAGAAAATGACTCATATATATATTTTAGGGAAAGCTATGAAAAAGTGTAAAAAGTTTTTGTATGATGTATTTTGTCCTTTAGAATTTCAATGAACTAAAGTGATGTTTACGGTGATTCGACTGACTACATATGTGCATGAGGGAGAGAAGATGCTTAGAATTCAAAATTAAAATTTTGTTTTTATTTTTAAATATGTTTTGGGTATATAGTCTGTACCTGAAATTGTTTTGACATAAAATCTCTCTCTCTCATTCTCTCTATATTTATATATATGAATAAAGACAAAAGGAAAACTTATGTTAGTCAATGCATTTTGTCCTCTGAGGTACTTTGTAAAGGCAAATGCCTTGATAAAGTCTCTCAGAAGATGTTAAGTTTTCCTTTTGGCTTTATTCATAGTCTTTTTAGAAATTTTCACACACACATTATATATATATATATATATATATATATATATATATATATATATACACACACACACACACAGTATATATGCAAATGTATTGTGACTATCAAAATATTAATGATATTATCTATTAAAAAGTTCATAAATTAAAAATTTGCTAATTTACCCAATTTTGTGTCCATGCAACGACACAGAAGTTCAGTTGCAGTATCATTTCCTTGCTTTGAAGCCAGAATCAACCATTCTGTTGCCTTGTTGCCATTCTCTTCAGGTTTTACCCCTGATTCTGCTAAAACCATATAGTGTTTGCCCACAGCTAGTTGGTGAGCTTCTTCCCCAGCATTGGCTCGATCCAGCACCTCTGGATCCATTG